GGAGAGGGCAGGCTATAAATGAATGGGCTCCTCTAAGTGCTGGGGTAGTCCAGGGAACAGCCCTCTAGTCCCCCCTGGCTGGAGAGCTCACCTGTGTGACTGCAGCTCCCAGGCTTTTTTCTCATGGTAGGAATTTCAGAGACAGGTAAGCCATCAGTGCACCAGCCTGTGACACTCATTGGCCCATGGAAGTTCAAAGCCAGGTGCATCCCTTTAGTTTTCAGGCATGGGCTAAAGGATGAACACTGATGAGGGAATGCATGCCACCTCTGCCTGGCTGACTTCTGAATGGGCAAGGCTGGGGCAAAACCCCCTCTCTTTCCTCAAAACACACTAATGCCTGGAACCAGAGCCTGCTGAATAGACTGACTGCTGTAGCAGATCAGTGGTCACCTGCGCTGAAGAACAGGATACCAGAATGCCTAATACCGAGTGTACTTGGATGAAAATGAGAAACCACAACATACTGCCTCAGTGGCAAGTGGAACAAAATGTGCATCTGAAATTCATGATGCTAATGTAAAATAATGTCAGTGGCATGTTCTGCCTCTGAGGGCTTTTTTCATGAACAAGCAATAAAGGATAAAAGTAGTTCGAAGCCTACTAAAATATGAGATGCTTAGAGTGTATGTGCAATACAATATATTAGTTTTGTATTGATTTCACTCACTTTGCTCCAATTACTGTTCCACTTAAATACCAATGTACTGAAAGAATTAACATTTATAATACATTTTCAAGGGGTGAGTGTATACTGCTGTATGAGGTACTAGTTAATAGAAAACTGTCAATAGAAGAGGTGGCCAAGCATATCACTATGAAAAGGCTGTTTCTCTTTGTTTCACAGGCGACTGCCTACTGATTAGTGTCATGTTTCATTCACTATTTCATTTCTTGCTTGCCAGCAATTGTTTCACTGGTGATGGACATAGACTAGGGAACTAGAGCTGCTTTGTTAGCTTAAGACTGGTGTCCTCTATTGCATATCACTTTTAATATACTGAATTCAGAAAACTAGCCATTTGCCATTTCACTTCCTTGCGCTCCTGTGTCATCTAAAAGAAACATTGTCTGACCTGCCGCTGCTCTTCATATGTTTATGGGGATATACAGAGACTTTTTGTCCCTAGAAAATGCCACTATTACCTTCCATCCTTGATGATGCAAGAACACACCAGTTTTCGCAAACAATTGTCCCTGTGTTACTATAGTTATACTGAGGAAACTATAGTTCATAATTTTCCAGAAAGAAATATTATTACAGAGCAACAGCAGCTAACTGTATAAACCTATGATGATACGCTAAAGTCTCACTGAGCAGGGGCAGGGTTGAGTCCTAAGTGTGTTGAAAATTACTGGAATACATAACGTAGAAACTTGGCATATTTTTCATCCCTCTCCCCACCAACTACAGTGCCCATCCTTAAGAACTTCCCAATTGCCATGAGTAACATAGCAGTTAACTAAGTAACTTTACCGCTATACTTGTATTTTTCAAGGAATTTTCTATAGTACTGTACAGGGAATAGTACCGATTGATCTTTTTTATGTCAGCTAAAATTGTATGTTTTTAACAATGACTACTGTTGCTGAAAAAGTGTTTAGGGAAAAGGGAAGGAAATTTAAAAGAAATGCTATCAGCTATAGTGGATGGACTGAGATCCAGGAATATTCTGGGACACAGAGTCTGAGTAATGGAGAACTGCTGAAACTTTAACCAAGTGACACTGGCTTCAGTCAATTTACAGAAAAATTGAATAAAGAGATTAAGCCTTTTGTTAAGAATCAGAAGAAGTCCTTGAATTTTGCTTTTCTTGTTAACAATTTTACAAAAATATATGCATTTTATTCTGTTAAGTGTCAACAGTCCATGTTTTTTGAATTTCAGTGACCCCAAAATGCCTGGAGTATTCAACTGAAACTTCATACTAGACAAAATAATCACGGCATTTCAAAATAAGAGTAACTGTAAGCAAAGCACATTGCTAAATGCTAAGAAGGTATTGTTCTTCCACTGTAGTGATTAATTTGTGGCACTGATTATTGAGAATGAATTATAGGTCAGTATATTACGATACTCCTGAAGTGTGGCGCTGACCACGTCACCTCCTTCTTGTGCTGAGGTTAAAGAAACAGAGGAGCTCTATCTCTACTGCCTTGATGGGCCTTAATGGCCTGTAATCAGGACACATTTGCTTTTATACTACAGTACTCGGCTAGAACCTGACCGAGAATTTTTATCTTGAAACATGGAAATCTGCTTTATCTCAGTCATTTCTGGAGCCCCAGGTGTAGTTCTTCAAATTTTGGTCCCTCTTTTATGTCTGATAGCAGACCAATTTCTTCAAAGAATGGCTGCCCCATATATTTTTCCGATCTAATTTTGTTCAGGTTTATAGTTTAAATTGTATAAACACTCTTATGGCATCTGACAAGAGAAATAGTATTGAAAGGAATATTGCCATTTTAATTAATTTAAATGGAGCGGCCACTCTGAAGGACTGGTTCTTTACTAATCCTTTGGCATTACTGCAAATTACAATAATTAATTCCTTGTGTAGCTGTCTGGTATTATTTAGTCCTATATGTTGACTGTCACAACATGACAGGACCCAGGTTTCATGCCTTTGGCACAAGAAATCCACCTGAGGGCGGTGAGGAAAAATGCCCATCACACCTGTTTCTTCAGGGACAGCCCAGAAAGGAAACAAGGCTTACATAGCATTTGGGAAGTACTCTGCCCAATCCTTCACGTGGGCAGCATCTCTTATGCAAGTCCTTCCAGGAAGCTTTGAGCTGCTCACCCCTTTTGGAATTTGGGGGGGAAGCTAAGGGTGGAAAGACTTTCGTATGGCATTATTTCCTACCCAACTGCTCCGTGCTAGAAGATGCTCGTAAGATCCAAATCTGTAACAGAATAACTACTGTCCCAGATATATGAACATTTATCTTTCTTACGATTATACATTTTGTGGTTTAGTAAAGTACCTCTGTGTAATTGCGTTCACGTCAAGGTCGGTTTGGATTCTTGTTTATTTCGGGGCTTCTAGGTATCGTAATGGAGTTTAATACATTTTTTAGCCATTTGAAATAGAGATTATAGCGGGATCAAAGAACTAGTCAGCCTGGAAAATAACAATAGAAAACAAAGTGAAAGTTTGACTTTTATCAACTTTTCATTGAAAAAAAAATCAAATCATTTTAAAGGATATATGTTAAGTAACAATATGAAGGCCTGCTTTTGCCTTATTTTACTCAAGGATATTTATAACAGTACAGTTTTTTCACTATCTTTGATATTATCATTAGTGCTACAAGCACTTTACAGACACTAGAAATATATAAAATGTGAAACAACATTAAATGCATCTTACAACATTCAACTTGTGATTCCTTGTAAGTGCATTATTAAATACAACTATTGTTAAGATCTAACTGATATTTTTCAATAAAGATACCGTACATGGTTATCTTACAAAAACTATTTAAAGGTGGGTAAATTAAATGGAAAACTTGAGACACTGCACGGCAATGTGTGACATTAAAGTCAGCGCATAGCATGCAGAGGGCTTCAGTCTTCAGTCAAGCTCTCTAGATGCAGAAGCATTTCATATTGTTGAAAGGACCGAGCTAAATAACAGGAATAAAATAGGAGAATGCCACAACTTATTTACCAGATAGTGGTACAGAATATACTAATGTGGCAGACATAATCACTTGGCTAAGCATAGCAAATAGACTAGTAAATATAATATAAATAGAAAGTATAAATGTGATCTGTATTTATTGTCTTTGAAACTTAATTTAGCAATGACACTGCAGTCTGCACTTCAGTCAATGAGAAGAAGTCTGTGTTCATTGTCTGCTGGTCAGTGTACTTCAAGGTTGTCTGTAAAACTTTTCAGCCAGTGGCAATGCACTTAAGTCTCCATGTGTTTGGTTCTCAGAACTCAAATGGTCCAAACCTTCTTCTGATCAGGAATCATTGCAGATTGGTTATCAAATTTAGATATTAATCTATGAATGTTATAATCCTAAAATGTCATACAAAAGAAGATTTCAGATAGGTGGGAAGGGGAATCTAGAGGTTTTCCATCAGAACAATTTACCAGTGGAGTGTAGGCTTCCAGACTCCTTGGCATTGATACAGGCTAGTAGGCAGACCATGTCTGACCTGGGAGGCCGGGAAGGATCGAGCGCCTCAAAAACAGTTTGAAAAGGTCAAAATAAAATGCTGTTTCAACTTTTTCAAAGTGAAAATTTGGGATGTTCATCCTGTGGGTAACCATGAAATTTGGATTTTTCATTTGTTTGACATTTCAGAATTTCTATAAAATGAGAATTCAGTTTCTGATTAGTTCTACACCAGGCTTTCATGATTTCTCTACCAGTTGTATATATGTAAGATAGTGATGTGTTCTCCCGCTCCTGGAAGAGTTTTCTGTAGCCAGATTTTAAAGGTATTTAAATGCTGCATACTGTGCAAAGTCCCACAAGATTCCTATTAACATCTTTCAGTCCCTTTAGAAATCTGACTCTAAAAAAAACAAGTCACTTTTGAAAATAGTATTTAGTTAGACATTTAGACCTCAAATTCTGGAGTCTGTAAGTGATAGAGGAACAGTGGGAAAAAAACCCTGGCCATATAGAGTTCACTCTTCCTTTCAGTATCTATTCTCTGCCACTCCGTGATGCAGGATACCAAGCAAAATGGACCTATGGTCTCATCCAGCAAATGGCAGTTTTAATGTGTAATCCTTCCACCGTGGCACCGGTTGGCAGCAAAAAGGGGTGGGTTCACATTTCGGGGTACTTCATAAATTATACCTGTGGGTTGAGCCCGCACACAGAAAATCTGGGAACACTAAATTCCCCTTTTCTTGCAAGCAGTATAAACACAAACACTCACGTTATTACAGAGAATAAAACAAAAGAAAACATTAAATATAATTTTAAAACATTACTAACTACAGAGCAACGCCTATATAGAAGGCACCCTTTTGGGGAAGCTTCACCCATACTCGGGCAGGCTTGGATTTGGGGCTTCCCAATGGGTAGTTCTGGGGGCCTATACCCCCATACCTGCCCTTCAGCAATGGGCTGGAGAGGAGGGCCCGCACCAGAGAGTCCTGAGCTGCTTCTTGGGTTTAGTGCGCTGCACTGTGCTGCTTGAGAGCGTGGGTCCTTCTGCATTGCAAGGGGCCCCTCGTTACTCCTGGAGAAGTGGTAGAGTGCCGATCTGTGCTCCCATGGAGAGGCTGGGTGTGTATGTGGGGGATGACTACAGCTCCAGCCAGCCTGCACAGACCCCAAAACTTCTGGGCTGAAGTATATGGCCTGCTGAAATGAAACTGTGGGACAAACTCCAGAAGAAGCCAAGTTGATTAATGGCTGTAACTGACCCAACTGCAGAGCTTGACTGGAGCAAAGGACCATCAAAAGAAATAAAGAAAAGCCAGGCCTACCTAGGCTGGAGGTAGGTTGGGTCATACAGCTCCACCGGGAGCAAAAAAGTTGCAAACCTCAACCCCAGCCCAAAGCTGGCAGGATCAGAAACTCTTAGGTGTCAACCCTGTTTAAAACTGCCAGGCCTAAATCCTGACCCGCCAACCCAAGGAACCAATACTTTTTTCCCCAGTGTTAATCCCTTAACACCACAAAAAAGGGGAAGAAAAGGAGAGAGGAGCTCCTGGACACTGGGACAATTCTCCGTCTCTCCTCTACCCAAGTTTCCCTTTTTGCCATCTCCAAATTCCTTCTCCCTCAAAGGAGACTTCACTCTTCAGCCGCCCCTACCAGCTTCTCCCCCTCCCCAAACCAGCCCAGCTCGCCTTATACCCCCCTGCATGACATCACTCCGGCTTCTTCCAATCAGGAAACACCACAGTCCAATCTTTCTTCCAACCAATCAGCCTGGAGCATTTTCTGCTTCCTCAGGCTAACGAGTCCAATGGGTTTTACATCCTTCGCTCAGCTACAGGCCCCAGCTTGCCAAGTGCTGAGCACATGGCCAAAACAACAGGTGCCATCTTGCCCACATAAAAACACAATATACAACAACCAAAAACACACACTTTACCATACACCACCCCAAGTGTGCATGGGTGCTACATATGTGTGTAATTTGGAGGGGGTCCTGAGTTTCAATTCAACCAGTTTTACCCCTACTTTTTTCCCTTAGTTGCACTTCTTTTAGAGGCAGAATCCTGTGCAGACTATCTATGCTCCTAATCTTGATTTTTCATACCAAAAGGAAAAAATACACACAAGTTTTCTCACCTCCTATTGTCTTGAGACCTAGATTTTAGTGGTAGTCAAGCTCCCTGCAGCAATTTCCCTGTGGTCTGCTACTGATTTTATAGAATTTAGCTCAAGTAAATTTATGCTCAGCTATTAGAAAACCTCAGGATTCAGTCTTTCAGGGTTTGGGGGGACATGCCTTGGTCGAGGTCCTCCTATCAAACAGTGGACAGCATTTGTACTCAGACTAAGAAACAAACTTGAACCTTAATAAAGTAGTAATGGGAGTGTCATTTGCCAATCAATGGAAGTGATTCTGCCACTCTAATGGGAACTGGTGAGTGTCTGTGTTCAGTTTTGGGCCCCTCACTTCAAGGCAAGTATGGACAAATTAGAAAAAGTCCAGTGGAGAGCAACAAAATGATTAGGAAATAATTGTGAGGCAAGGCTGAAAGGACTAGTATTATTTAGTTTGGTGAAGAGAAGTCCGAGGAGGGATTTGGTAAGAGTCTTCAAATACCTGAAAGGTGGTGATAAAAAGGATGAAGATGGGACCATTTTTTGTGGCTGCAGGGGACAGCCACAGAAAACAGTTCCTTGGATTGGCGGGTCAGGATTTAGGCCTGGCAGTTTTAAACAGGGTTGAAACCTGAGGAGCAATGGTCCCAAATTGTAGCCTGGGAAATTTAGATTTCAGGTTTGAAAGAACTTTCTATCTCTCTGAGGGTGGAACATGTTACTTAAAGAGGTTCTGCAATTCTTGGATGTATTTAAAAGCAGGTTAGACAAACAGTTGACTGAGATGGTTTAGATGATCCTGGATGATCCTGCCATGAGCAGGGGGTTGAACTGGGTGACCTGCTGAGGTCCCTTCCATCCTATTTTTCCATGATTCTACATTATCAATAAAATATATAAGGCATGCCTGACTGTGGACAGGTGCGCTCTGCCTAAAAGTGATATGAAACAACCTCAGCCCTCATTCAAGACAACAGGAATTAACAAATGTGTAACACTTGAAATCAGGAATCAAGTCCAAAATTATTTTCAGTGTATTTTGCAAGTCGATTTGCACAGATGGACAATAAATAAACAAGTGCTTGTTAACAAAACAAAAACCAAGGCGATACGCCCTTTGGTGAACTGAATAAACTCCAGGATATTTTGAATAATAAATTCTGTGTTTGTAGTACATCTATGTTGGGTAGACATAAGATTTTTTTTTATTTTGTGTATTACTTGCCCTTAAAAATAATTTCATTTAAATGTTTAATCTAAATTAGCTGTCTTCAGCAGTGATTAAACTAGATACGGTTTGCTGTGTTTTTTTCAAACAGACCATGCATTTCCTAGCAGCTTATTTGGCCAATATTTGATTTACGATGATACAGTTCATATACAAGATGGCTTGTTGTTTTTAATGAACTGGATGTGTTGTATAATAGAAGTGCTAGGTTTGTGTTAAATTACAGCTTTGGGACTCATTATTGTGAGATGTTATCTACTTTGAACTAGCTTTTTTATCACAAAGGAAGAAATTGAATTTGCTTAAGATGGCAAATGCAGCAAATGGTTGGGAGCAGTTTATTTCAGGCGTCCTTTTGAGCTAACTTCCCATTTTTACCTGATCTAGTTCATATTCTGTTTGGGAGACTGAAACATGAAACATGCTCATGTGTGCCAGTTTCCATATTAAAAAAGCACCCCAAAAACCATGTAACTGCCTTATTACCCATTTCTACTGCAGTTTGGAGTGTTGTAGCCAAAAAAAGGGTATCACAAAAAACTCTTGCCTCTGAACTGTTTCTTCTGTAAACTCATGGAATTCCCTTCCTTCAGACACTTTGGTGCCAGATTTTCAAACAGTGAGAGCACCGAAGTATTCATACACTTCTGTATATATTGGCTGTTGGCAAGAAAATACGCTATACAGCTTTGGCATATGAGCAAACTGCACAATCATGCACAAAGTCCTAAGTGTTTGTATAAGGGTTGTGGTTCACTTTGGTTGGATTACTCGAAAAAACATGTGGCTTTTGTCAGTGGAGGCCTGAAATCTCAATTATTTGTGTGGTGTTTTAGGGCTTTTTTTTCCCCAAACATAATTAATGGGTTTTTATCATGATAGGTTTGAAATAAAGAGACAAATTAAATAATAGCATGTTTACCCAAATTACTTCTGCTACTCTGTGCACACAGCAGCTAAACCCCGCTCCATATTGATGGAAACGTGATGCTCATTGTAGAACATCTTCTGCATAATTGTCTTTAATGGAGAAGTTGTCTAATTCAAAGGTTAATTTAAGGAAACATGTGCATAAATCGATGTAACATACACTTTTCACTTGTTCCCTGTGAAGTGCCAGCTGAGCCAGTGTAGACTTTGGTAAACTTATTAGACTAACAGGAACAAAACCTTAAGTGATGAGTATGAGAGACCATGTGTGCTGAGATTCACTTAGACATTTTTATATGCACTCTTGTGGTGTTTAAGGGAGCATAAATTAATGCCCATGCCAAGGAGCTCTATTAAAAAGAAAGTGAACAGGCTTTGAATAAAAACTACTCTCTTTTCACTTTCGCATCATTTCTTGCCATATAAATTCTTCTAAGTGACTTGGAGAATGCTGCTGTCTCTAGACATGACAATCCAACAGGTTTCACAGTAAAGTCACTATCAGTCCAACATTTTCACAGCGAACTCACTGAAGATAGACACTTTGAACCTTCTTCAAAGTCTAGCTAAGTAAATAGGCATTGCATAGCAAAGCTCTCTGGATTGAAAAGGAATCAAATTCCCACAGTCTGGGAGTAGGTTTTAGAGACTTTCAGTAGCTACTATCAGAAGTCAGTGTGCTCCTTCTGCAATACCTTCCTACAGACTTTAGCCAGTGGATGATGTGAGAGGAAGCCTGAGAACTGTAGTTAGGAGCCAGGGCAGCTGGATAGAGGCCAAATGCAAGGGGCACGCAGCCAGGAATCACTGCCGCCTAGGCAAGGATCTACACATTAGGAAAAGAGGAACACCCACAACCAATCAAGAGCCTACTACTTAGACTAGACTAGCTGTAACAGAGTGGGCAGCCAGGAAACCACCTGACTGCTAGCAAATGGGTAGGCTGCTGAGCTAAGCCTTAGCTGAGCAAGCACGTGGTTCATCAGCCACTCACAAGAAAAAAACTTGTGAGTGGCTGCAGACTCACATGACTGGATGGGGCAGGGCTAGAGAGGCTCATGAAACCAGTGTCTGCAAGCAGGTGGTCAGTCTGGCCCTGGAAGCTGCAGGGGAAAGAGCCCCTGACCAGAAAGCTGCAGAGGAGGGCCTGGCTGGCAGCCAAGCTGCCTAGGGAAGAGCTAGCAAGATGCTGATGGTTTACAGGGGAATACAGCCCAGAGTAGGAGGGAGCTTGGATGTACAACCTAAGGCCTGGGGCTTAGGTTGAACCCAGTGGCTGTGTCCACGTGAGCATAGACATTTTGTTCCCTGGGGACAACTAGCAGCAGGACACCTTGTGCAGCTGCTACTTGTTTCCGGGCAATGCCTGTGCCCTACGCACTCTGGCATGCAGCAAGTTACCCTGAGTGGGGGTAGGGGAGGCTGAGGGTAGCACTGGGCTGGTCCCAGCAGCCTTACCTAGTGTCCTTGGGGTCTCCTGGGGCTGCAGCTGCAGTGATCCTGCTCTTTGAAGCCTGGCCAACAGCTGAAGCATGGCTGTGGCTGGCCCAGCTCTGGTTTTGTGCAGCACCTACTGCCCTTGTGTGCACCGCTCCACCTTTTTTCTCCACTTTTATTTATTTAGTTAGTTAGTTGACCCCTGAATATCCAGGGATCAATCCTTCTCCCCTCCCCGTGCTGCTCCCTTGCAGTGTGGAGAATGTGTGCTATGTGGCACCACAGGCATGTCTGCAGCACCATATACTGTACCACCACACTTATCTGGACACAGCCAATGTGGGGCTAATTTGTGCTGCAGCCAGGGGGCTTATCTTTTGGGTATAGTTTATAATGGTGGTTTGGGACTATTGGGGAAGTGGAGGTCCCAGCCATCCGTGAGGGGCATGCAACTGCCATGAGCCCAGTTGGGGTGGGGTTCAAATAGCAAGAGTAGCTGAGAAAGGGCCAGGGTGCCAGTGCCTAAGCAGGGCACAAACCAGGGTCAGGGACCCACAGCCTGAGAAGGGCAAACCAGCAGAGGTGAGAACCAGGGTCAGGGAGCCGTAGCGAAAGAGGGGCGAGATTGGTCCCAAAAGAGAAGAGACCAGGGGCCCAGCTACCCAGAAGGGTGAATTCTGGGGCTAGGGACCCAGAGTGACAGACACCAGGGCCAGATGCCCCGAGATTGTTGACTGACATGGCTGAAGCCGAGAGGGCCAGATCTGAACCAGTTGGCCAGGGCTGAAGGCTCGCAGCCAGAGAAAAGGGAGGCTGAAGCGGAGAAGGCTGAGGGCTGTGCAAGGGACAGAACGGTATCGAGTAAAACCTGTGAGGCATGGGCACAGCTGCAGGGAAGGTCGAAGACTGTGAATAAGGCAATCAGTGCCCTGGGGCACGTTTGGACAGACCATCTAGTGAAGGACTGAGCTTGGGCCAGTGGGGTTTGAGACAGGAGCTTCTAACGAAGGTAGGACGAGGACATACTTTAGGATTGTGGGGCAGTTTTCCTTTGAAAAATCAAGGTGTGGCAGGAAACTGTAAAGGGAGGGTATCTAGAGCTGGTGCAAGGTGGTAGCCTTTGGGCCACGAGGGGGCTTCATGACCACCCTTGAGGCCTGGTCCTGCTACAGATCACAACCAGAAAATCTATCAGAAATACTTTCGGTCATTTTTTACTGTGCCTAAAAGAAAGCCATCACAAAGCACTACCTTGCGTGTGTGTACACACAGAACAACATGTTTAGGATGCCCTTGTAATACAGAAGACCTACTGCTCTTCAAAATGTAAGCAAATATTTTTCTTTCAGTCATCCCAATAATCCCTTTTATATAGTTCATCTAAACCATCCGTTACACAGCCTGACAAATACTATAGGTAGATGATATATTAACTACTTTCTATCATGGATATCTTAATATTTAGGGTTCATTGTAACATTGAACCTAACGCTGAACACAGAGCAGTTGACATGCCTTTACTGAAATAACCTCTACCTTTTCCTACACCTTAGGTTTTGTTTTTGTTTTTTGGGGAGGGGGTGAGGGGGGTAAAGTTGTGTACCGTGTGTCGTTTGGGCTGGGTTTTATATCTGCTCTCGTCTTACCTCAGCTGTCATTACTCATCAAATACTCTATGTAGTATGACACAGATTTTTACTTGTTCTTTATTCTTCTTTAAGAAAGTTCCAATTTTTCCATGACCTTGGTTTTGTAGGTCTTGATTTACACACATTAGCAGCTTTATGCGTTCCCTTTATAGGTTATTTTGTTTTATTGCCAATAAAGCAGCTTTACTGATATAATTTACAATTTCTTTTTCCCTATTGTTTCTGGCATATGTTAATGTTTTCGATTCCAAATCATTGATACTAGTAATTAACTTGCTTCCATTATTTTTCTTTAATCGAGGATAAATGAGCTCACGCTATTTCCTTCAGGAGGGATGGATTAGATATGAGATACCACTTACTATGGGGAGAGTACTGTAGGTATGATTAATAGCATCATCACTGTAACATAATTTAGTTAGAAGGACCCACACAACTGATAAAGTGTCATGCACTTCTACTAAACTGCAATCCAAGTGAACTGTATTTCAGATTTTTATATCCTCATTTCTGCCTACTGTAAAGGTATTACTGTAAGATTCATACAGATTTCTTTATAGTCAAGCACTACGAGCAGTGAAAGTTAAATCATTTCTTATTGCATTAAGAACATTTTTTCTGCATAAAGATGGATAATTATGTTCCTGATAAAGTTAGAGTGATGTTGCAAGTGCCATGGTCCTGGAATTATGAGATGGGCAATAATTTTTGGGGGGAGATATCTTTTATTGGATGAATTGCATAGTTGGGATAAAGTTAAGCAAGCTTTTGAATGCAGAAAAAATCTGGCCTCTTGCATTTTTGATAAAGGAATAAATGAGTTCACCAAATCCACTTATAGCAGGCTGAAGTTATACCTACCAGAATTTTTTACCAGAATGAGAAGTTTAGTTTAGAATAAAGAGATCTCTCCTCAGAAGATCAAGAAAAAGGTTCTGTATGTGTATTAGGTATCTTGGCCATCTTTTGTGGGGATTTGGAGGGCTACAGACTGTAGAAAATCCAGTAGAAAATCCCTTTGTGTTCGAACAGACCTAACTAGGGTTAGGTCAATCTAAATACCCATTTGTGCAGACATTCATCTGGGTAGGAGAACTAACTTAGATCAGGAACATAAACCTGATCCAGTGAAAATTTGAATATGTTCAGAGCACAACCCTTGGGCTGGGAAAGCCCCACTGCTCACCTGGGCTCCAGGGGTGTACTCTACCCCCAGTCCTGACTGAGCTATTTTTTGCCCCTCAACTCCCCACACTTGAATGGACAATCCTCCCTCCTTCACGGGCACACTAGCCCCCTAATCCTGCCAGTCCCCCTGTAGTAGGGTGGCCATCATAGAGGACAGTCTGGTTGTCCTCTGTCCTTTATTGATACAAAACTGGGCACCTTTATATCTCTTCAAGAGAAAAATAGAGGACATAAAGGTGTCGGGTTTTGTATCAATAGAGGACAGAGAACAGAATAGCAGAAAACTGGACTTTATGATGGCCACCAGGGCCTGTAGTTCCACTAGCACCCTCCCCATAACTCCAGAATTTCATCCCTTTGATTCAAGTTTTTTTTTTTACTGTGTTAGGCAGTGAGATTTTAACCCTTTCCAGATTTTACTTTACCTTGTTACACACTCTTTAGGCACTAAAAGAATTCAAAATCACCATTATTATCTTGAGAAGCAAATCCATTGGACAGGATTCTGGACTGTCACTCAAGAGATCCAAGAACTCCAGTATCCAGTGATCTGCTGTGGGGCATTCACTTTTCTTTTTGATTGCTTATCTACTTAGGAAGTGAACTTTTCAGGACAGAGCCGTTCCGCACAGTGCTTAGCAGCATGAGACCCCCCTCAGAGGGTGACCAGGCTAGC